ACAACACGTTCGCACGCTCGCTTCATTTTGGCACCTTCATCAAAGACAACTTCGTTTGGTGACGCTCTCCCGGCCTCAGATCTCGGACAAGCTCCTCGCGGGGGACTGCTGCTGCTTACGGAGGAGGCAGTAGTAGTGGTATTTGCTGCTCGTGTGTGTGGCGTGGGTAGAGAGAGCAGACGTGGACGGCGGGATGGCGCGTGCGGCTTCTTTGGTTGGACTGGCATGCGGGGTGCTTGGTAGGGCGAACGCCCTGACAACTATCACTCCTTCGGAGGGGCTCGTGGTGGTGGCAGACAGGTGGGCGGTGTGTGGGTGGATCGTGACCCTAGGGGCCGCGGCGGGCAAGTCGCCTGCCTCTGCTGTGTGACCGCGCTGCCGCTGACGCAAATGACCCGTCGTGTTCTTTCCTAAGAACACTGCCTTGGCCACGATCACGTATGGTCGTCCCCGAAGCGGCGGGAAACTACATTTTGTATGAGGTGTCCGTTTTTAGCGAGCCTGCAATCCGGAACCCTTTCCAAGACGTTGAACATTGAACCAAAGCCAGCATATAGGCCACTCGCGTGCGACGGTCCCTGATCGCGAGGCGCTAGCCTCCGGCCTTCTCTATCTTGTGCCGCGTGCTCGGGTCGTATTTCATTCTTCCCGGCTAGCCAGGCCAGGCTGCATCACCCAGGCGGTTGTTTGTTGCGTGATCAACTTTTTTTTTCTGATGAAGGGATGGGCCATATCACGCCGTAGGCTATAGATCCGGTGGCTTTCTCGCTGTCTTCTTCTGCTAGGTAACGGTAACTGCTCCGGACAGAAGGGTAAGCGAGAGGACCTCCTGCCTCAGCAGCCCCCGCTCACTTTCTCACACCCGCCGGGAAAGCAGAGATGCTGGCTCGTTCGGCGGCGTTGGGAGCAAGAACGCGCGGGTTATTTGCTGCCCTCTCTCTCACACTCACCAGCTGCCTCCTCTCACACACATACAATTGTATAAAAATGGCCGAGGTTACTCCGACACTTTTTTTTTTGTACAGAGATTCCACAAAATTTGTGAGGCAACTGCTCGTGATAGTTATGAAGGAGGTTTCGAACGCAAGATACAAGAAGTGGCGGACTAATATAGGGCCGATCTGCCGCTCCATGTGTAGTTTCACGCCGCTACTGCTGCTGCTGTGGGATAGGAGCATCGATTGGCAGCACGAAGGCGTCATGTTTCTTTCTCGTTGCTGGATGGGTGGAATCCAGCAACCGACTTCATGAGTCGTCATGAAATGGGTGGTATGCACACTTGTGGAAGAAAACACCTGCGTCTTGACGTAATCTACTTTTTAATGTTTGTGTTCGTCCCTCTATTCTGACGCCGGTTTATCGGTTTTGTGAAGAAAAGTAGAAAATGCCGTTGCAATCTCTATCCATCCTCTTTTCGAGATAGAGATATGGGCTCGTTTTGTCACATGTATGCATTTGCATACCTCTTCAAATATAAATGCCGATGGGTCACAAACGTCTACTGCTGTATGTACCACACAACCTTACCCAGACCGATTTCAAAGCCTGATAACCCCATACATAAGGAAAGCGTGGCGTTGCCGAAAATATGCGATCTCTAAATTTTATATTTTCTTGTCGAGAGCTCTCCGAGAACGCACTAATGCTGAAGTTGCACGCTTTGTCGTATCTTCCTCATGAAGTATTCGAGCTTTGAGAATAATAGGTCCAGGGGGTGATATAGTTTTTTTTTTTCTCCCATCATTGGACTCTGTCGTCTGCCCCTCTGGCCCCCATCCTCCACTTCTACCAGCGAGACGACCCAACCGGGGTCAAATATAACGTCACCCACGGTATTACAGCAGTACAATTATACAGCTGCAAAGATGTGGCCGATAAAGCGATTAATCCCGGGTGCAATACGTACCTCCTCTTACCTACTTCTGTCGTCAGTCGTTGCAGCGTGCGAGAGCTCCATGGATAAGTCGGGTTACAGAATGAAGCGACGCCCCGTTTGGCGCAGGCAGGCCAGGAAAAAAACGCCACAATGTGCATGTGATACATGGTAAAGAGCGCCTCTTATTGGCCATTGATTTCTAGAGCTCCCTGACAACACAAACCAGTCTCCGCTGGGTCGGCGGTGGCGTCATGCATGTTGTGATGCCATGTATTCTACTGGTAGATCTGTTTTGCGCCCATGGCGAGTGCCATGAACAGTACATACGCTTTGTTGTCATCACGTCCACAAAGTTATTGCTTAGACTGGCGCCAGAATAGATTGGACGAACACACACACACTTTTAATGAAGAAATTGGACTGCTGTGGTTATTTTGTGCACGGCTAGTCTTTCTGTGATCATATGTGTACTTTCTACATGGTGAAAAGCAAAAGGAAAGCAGACTGCTCTCTCTTATTGAAAACTCGATTCATGGACCGGCGGGACTTTTGTGGGCCTTTCGCTTCGTTGTACATTTTTGGTGAAAAACTCTCGTGATATAAAACTCGATAATATATCTTCACAGGATAAAAACACACGACTGCTAGCCTGCTCTTATACATCCTCGGAAAGCTGGTGTTGGGCAGGTGGGCTGCCGTTGTGGTGCAGCCAAATTTGATCAACCGGAAACAAGCAGCAAGCGAAATTAGAGTGCCTTTTTTCAAGGTGATACGAATATGCACACCCTTACGTAGTGAACGAATAGCGGACAAGGCGCGTTCGTCTCTGCCAAGAGCGCCCCCAACCCACGCTAGCTGACACTCTGTATGTTGGCACTCGGGCGTTGATGATAACAACCGTTGGTCCTTCTCTTTTTTTTGTGCCAAAGAGTAAGCGAGAGAGAGGTTAGAAAAGACAGGCAGACAGGCATATACGCACACCCTGTGCATCAACGGCAACAACAACCTCCAGCCTCCCCGCCATGCCGACTAGGAAGGGCCGCCCTCCCCCCTACAAAAATAACGGGGCAGCCCATAAGCTACGCAGCGAGCCTTGTGGAACTGTGTCCGTTCGTTAGTGCGTCTGTGCTTGCGTGCGATGGCGGCACCAGAGAAAGCGAGAAAGAGAAAGGAGCACGACGAGAGAGGAAGGCAGAGGGGAAAAGAGCGGGTGCAGCAGCATGCAGCAACCTCACGTACGCGTTGATACGCATGCAGCACAACAAAAAGAGGAGAGAGGAGAGGGAGATAGAGAGAGCAGTCTGTTCGTCTCGGAACACAAATATATACTTGGGGCTCTGGAGCCCCAAACATGTTTTCGCTCACGATTCATGCATTTTTGCCCAAAATCCCCCTCCGATATGAAACTCGATTCACTCGGGCTCTTCCACTGGTTTTATGCATTTTTTCGAGTTTTAAATAACTCTATTGAACAACAAATGGACGTGGGTAAAGTTACCTTTTTTTAGTAAGCTACCCTGTGACCATGGGAATCGACCGCGTCAAGTGTTTGCAATTTGCAATCGAGTTAGACTGGTACGGGCAGAAGAAGGTACTGGGTAGCGAGAACATAACGGTTTGTATTGCGAAGACAACAATAACCAAAAAAAGGGTTTATTCCGTGAAACACAAGCTGATTTCCACCACCCTCTATACGCAAGCGTAGTGACAACCTCACAAGCTCTCTCGCAGAAATAACGGTACCGTCTGTTGCTGGACGGCGGTGGCCACGCTCTGCTTTTCGGCAGTCGAGCGAAAGACCGAAAACGCTACAACGACAACCATGAGTCCTGCAGTAGTATTGTACGGTCCTCCCTTCTTTTGAACGAAACAAGAGTTCCGTTGGCATCATTTTCGGGCACTCTCTTAAGCTTATCTTGTTCCCATCAGGGTTCCTCGTTATGTATGTCGTCCCTGCCGGCCTGGTGTTTGACGGAAGCCCAAGTGACGTTTTTTTTTTTTTTTGGAAGAAACGTGGGGGAAACAATAGTCCGGCTCTTCTTTGTTGACTGCTGTACTTGCACTCATGATCAACACTTCACGCGTGTACACTAGACTGACTCCTTTTGCACGATGAGCACAGCTTGCCGCAGTACGTGCCTCGCATGTACGCGGATAGTGTGCAGCCTAACACTGCTTCGGTGGTAATTCTGACCTTTTCTTTTTGTTTGTCGGCGCGACATTGCACGGCGCCAACCTACGCCCCGGGTGCTGCATTTTACTGTCTCTGGTGTGCGTGTGTGCTATTGGTGTTGTTGACGGGAAAACCATACTCACTTTTTCCTTCCATGTTTTTCCCTCACGCTCCGCCACCCCCACCACAATCTCCACCTCCGTTTCGATCAGAACGTACACCGTGGAGTGGGTAGGCACGACCAGCAGCCGCTTCGAGATCGACCTCTACTACTGCGGCTCGGTCTGCTTCGAGGTGAGCTGAATAGCTACGTACACCCAAGCGATGACGATGTAGTGAAACTGCTGTGTGCGGACGCGCTGCGCACGAGCAAATGGTGCGCGACAAGGCACGGGTGCGACGAATGGGTTAAAAGAGTGCCAGCAGTTGTAGGTCTCTGAGGGAGGGTGTTTTTTTTGCAGCACCTCACCTGGGCTAGTTACCCTGTGCCGGCGGAGGCGTTTTGTCTTGTTCTCTCGGTGGATGAGTATGGGAGGGGATGGGTAGCACTTGCGTGTAGAGGTCAGAACGTTTCCCAGGATGTGCAGACAGCAGCAACCTAGACCGCAACACACATGAGCTACCTAGAATAGTCTGTTTCGAGCAGCAATGGCCACTCTTGCCCCTCTGTGCTTCTTGTCGAGACGTTCGAGACGACATTTCTCTACCAGAGAGTGCGAGATTATGTAAGAGATTTGCCCTTGAGCAACTTGTTGGTTGTGGCTTACGGCACAGATAATTTTCCTGACGTCCTCATTGGTGAGGGAAGAAGCTTTAATATCCCAGCACTTTGTCCCCTTGAAACTGCCTACTCTTTTACCTCCGCAGGATGAGTGCGGTGAGTGGGTGACCGCCCTGTGCCCGTACGGGTCAGAGGGCTGCCCCGACAACGAGGGCGACTACGACATCATCATGCCCGAGCCCATGAGCGGCACCTCCGGCTCCGGCTACAAGGTAATGTCCACTCCCGAGGATTTCTTCTCGTATCTATGAATGCGAAGAAAGCATTGCGATGTCGCGTGTGCGTTCCTGCTCCCTCTCCGACTGCTGCTGTGGCCGTTTCCACGCATCGTACGCACATTCGCCCTTCTTTAGCTGTGCGTTCACGAGGCATATTAACGTATTTGGTGGTTGGCCGGTGACCACGTGTGTTGTGGATGGTACTGAGCGGAGATAGCCCGTACCAAAAAGCGCATTGCTATGCTTATGTCGAAATGGCTCCTTCCCACGCGAGTGATGAACGTCGCGCAAGAACTTACCAGCAACCCCCCCCAAACAAAAATAAAAAAACAGGTGCGCGTGGCGGACGTGGACGGCCCCCAAGACGCGGACTGCTCGGACGAGTTCTACCTCATTGCTTCCGCCGAAGCACCTGTGGTTGGGGGTCCTGACGCCCCGTACCTGATCGTTACCTCCCCGTCAACAGGCGACATGGCGCAGGCAGGCGGAGAATATACCGTTGAGGTGAGTTTTTTTTTTTGAGAGAGAGATTGTCTACGGCGCCGCCGCATGAATGGTGTCGGAGGAGGCGGCGAGGCTATGTTTTGAATGTGCATGGGAAGCGTTCGTAGTCTGTGTGTTTGTGTCTGCGTCTCGACAGCGCGCTGGAAAACGCCACGCACAGCAGTCTCGTGTGCTGCGTACCGTGAAGGCTGCTGGCGAGCGACGGCACCCCCAATAATATATGCATTCATTCATTCACTCTCTTGTGTGTGTGTCTTCCCGTTTTCTTGGTTTGCGCCCAGTTCGACTACGACAATGGAGTCGGTTCCCGAGTGGACCGATTCAAGATCGACCTGTACTCTATCGGAGGGACCGGCGACTGCGGCACCTGGGTGATGAATCTCTGCGACAAGGAAGCCATCGGCTGCAAGGACTCGAGTGAGTTGGATCTACACGTTTGTCATGATGCTGTCATGTTATGGGTTTAGTGACGAGATTTAGGCCGCGGCCCTTTGAACCTCTCCGGGCACCTGGTGCGTGGTATCCCTTACCTCCATGCATGCATCGCTCGGTCCCCATGGTCCATCCACAATACGCCCTTGACCCCCCCCCCCCGCGCGCGCGCGCACCTGTTCGTGCCAACCTCCAACGATGACGACGCCAACTAACCAACCAACCAATCAGTGGGAGACTACGACGTGGAGATCCCCGACACCGTTGTCGACGGCATGTACTCGATCCGCGTGGGCCGCTTCGAGGACGACGCCCTGTACGGCTGCTCGGGCGAGTTCGAGATCGTTGGCTCCTCCTCCGGGGAAGGTTCTGGGGAAGGTTCTGGAGGGGACGGGGGCGCCGGTAGCGGCAGCGGCAGCACGAGCAGCGAGTCCGGCTACGGCGGCGGCGTCGGTGTGGGCAGCAGCGGCAGCAGCAGCGCCAACGGAGGCGGTTCCGGTAGCGGAGGAGGCTCGATGGGCAGCAGCAGTGCCTACGGCGAGGGAGACGGCGAGGGCGGCGGTGTCATCGGTGGCGGAGATGGGGGTACTGGCGAGGGGGAGGGGGAGGGTGATGACCTCGTCGGCGGTGGTGTCAGCAGCGGCTCGGGGGCGGGCGCGGGCAGCGGTGGTAGCGGCAGCAGTGCCTACGGCGAGGGAGACGGCGAGGGCAGCGGTGTCATCGATGGCGGCGATGGGGGCACCGGCGAGGGGGGAGGGGAGGATGATGACCTCACGGGCGGTGGTGTGAGCAGCGGCGCGGGCGAGGGCGAGGGCAGCGGTGGCAGCAGCAGCAGTGCCTACGGCGAGGGAGACGGCGAGGGCGGCGGTGTCATCGACGGCGGCGAGGGGGGCACCGGCGAGGGGGAAGGGGAGGATGATGACCTCACGGGCGGTGGTGTCAGCAGCGGCGCGGGCGAGGGCGAGGGCAGTGGTGGCAGTAGCAGCAGTGCCGCCGGCGAGGGAGACGGCGATGGCGGCGGTGTCATCGGTGACGATGATGCCGTGGGTGAGGGCGAGGGCGAGGGCGGTGGTGCCGTCGACAGAGATGAGAGTGGCGACGATGACGACAGCGACGATGACGGCAGCGACGATGACGGCAGCGACGATGACGACAGCGACGATGACGACAGCGACGATGACGACAGCGACGATGACGATAGCGACGACAGTAGCAGCGATGACGGCAGCAGCGATGACGGCAACAGCGATGACGGCAACAGCGATGACGGCAGCAGCGATGACGGCAGCAGCGATGACGGCAGCAGCGATGACGACGACTTCAACTTCTCCTTGTCGTATTCTTACTCCTACGAGTTCGAGGAGCGAGAGCTGTACGATGTACTCTGGTAAAGGCTTAGCAGGCGCAACAAGGGGAAAAACACACCGGACGGGCAAGCTTGGCATGAGAAGGCGGAGGGAAAACAATTTGAGACAAACCCCATGCTGGACCCGCGCGCCTCAAAATGCGCAGACATGCTGTGTGCACGCGCCTTTCAGTGGCTGCGAGGAGTGTAGAAACGAGGTTGGCGATCTCGCGGCTCTCGCTGTTGGCAGGATGAGAGCTGTGAGGTTTAAAAAATGCGTGTGGTGGTCCGTGCGTAAGTTGCGTAGGGGGCAGGGGGTTCATTTGTTCCGGGCTTGTTAGAAAAAAAAAAAGGGTTGTGATGACGTGTTTTCCCCACACTGGAGGAGCGGGCAGATTCTTGTCTCCAGTGGGTTAAGTAGCAGTTCGCGTCGAGGGTAGGGTAGAGAGAGAGGCCGCCATGGTACCCGTCGGTGTTTTCCCTCCGTTTGGCAAGTGAATCAATCGTCTCTCGTGCTTGTGAGGATCGGGAGCAGCTCCTACATGCGGCGTTATGCGGCGTTGTAGTGGAGACTCGAAGCAAGGTTTGGTACGTAGGTAGAGTGAAGTTGAGTTGTTGTGAGACGTCCCCCCCCCCTTTGTCGGGGACAAGCACGACTGTATCCGTAGTGCCACCCGTCTGTGAAGTCGATCGGGATTGGTGCCAGAGGCCGTGTGGGCCGACGGGAGAAAAAAGGCGTGTAGGTACATACTGGCTTTCCACGCGATCACGTTTACGTCTTGAGTTGTTTCGGTTTTTGGTTTTTGTGTATCGTGTGTTGAGCTTTTCCCCCGCCTCCGCTCGAAGCTCTTCATGCCGAAGGACGAGTGGCGTCATGTGTGCCCTGCCTTTACGTTTCACGCGTTACAGCAGTATTCTGAGAGAAGTAGGCAATCCGTTTTCGACAGTACCCTTACCCCCCGCACCAAGAAAATTTCCCTCAGTTTTTACTTCATGTTTGAGGGGGCGGAGAGGTTGTTGTTGGGCAGGCGTTTGCTTGGAGGGAGAAGAGGCTATTTCTCCTCAACAGTTTGTTTTGTTGGCGTTGATGCAATCGCACCGACCACTTTTGGCCGCGATGTGCGCACTTCGCTTGTCGGACGGAAAATTCATACCAGCATGCATCAAAACTTGTTCTTCAGTTGTTGGCGTAAGAATATATTTCGCGCCTTGTCGCTCGTTCTACTCAGACAACTTACATTCCGAATTTCTTGCCCTTCGCATACGTCGATTGCTTTTTTTCGTTTTGCTGGGCATAATGAGTGGTGGCCGGGAACCCCGCCAGACTAGATGAGGGGGCGCGGGTTTAACCTGTTTGTGTTTGAGCTTGCCGATTGTTGAGTCCTCCGTTGGTGTTTTTTTTTTTTTTTCGTGGATGCTCGGTTGTAAGGGGAGCTCTTGAGTTTTCTTTTTGAGGGTCGGGCAGCGGGGGAAGGGCGGCAGTGGGCTCGGGGTTCCCCGTGCCTAGGCTCTGACTATCTGTCTGTGCGTCTTCCGTGTCCCAGGAAGCGTTGATGTGTTGTACCACAGAGCGTGACGGGGGAAAAGTGAAAGACAAGAAACTGCTGCTGCTGTGTGGTACTCCGTTATGGCTGTGCCTCTTTTCTTTTTTTTTTTTTTTTTGAGCGAGAATGTGAAGGTTTTTTTTTTTTTTCTTAATATGACTGTTTTTGTGTCGAGTGCGTTGTGCGCGCTACTCCTTTGGTACGCGCGCCGGACAGCATGGTGAAGAAAGACATGGAGATGGGTCAGGGATCGAGAGAGAAAGAGCAGGTGGCTGTCCTTTTGTTTATTTTTTTGTTGTGTGTCGTGGTGGTGTCGGAGGGTCGGTCGGTTGGTCGGTCGGTGTGTGTGCCGTTTCCAGCGTGCCCGGCGTCGCAACTGCCTTGTGTGTGTCTGCTGTGTCTTAATTGTTAGCATCGGCCGCGTTAACCGGCTGACCAATGAAAATACGTCAGTCTGTTCTTGTGTGCGTGTGTATGTGAGTTTTCAACTCGCGTCGGCGGCGGTAACAAGCACGCAGGGACGTTTACCTTGCGCACGCAGAAGAACTAGCTCCTGCTCTCGCTGCTGCTGTCTTGTGAATTTTGTTGTCGTAGCGAATTCAACCGCGCTTGGCCGATGAGCAGACGTTGACCTTTCGAATGTTTGCGTTTCTCTGTTTTGTCCACAGCAGTAGTTTTGTTCCCGCGCAATCTACGCACTGCGCGCGACTTTTTTTTAAGTTTCTCTGCAAAGCCCGATCGCAGTTTTTGTTTGGATTTTTCTTGTTTAGTTTGGCGTTGCGTTCGACACTGCTGTAATTTTCGGGTATTTTAACAGTACAAGCGTTTCGGCACTTGCATGCATATCCATACAAGAGGGGCGAACCCCCGTGTACCGTTATGGTAGAAGCTGAAAATATGTAGCCGTGTCAATACGGACGGTTGTTTTTGTGTTGTGGGCTATTGTAGACTCGTTGTTTGTTAGCCGGTTCGTCTTGACGGAGAGGACGGGTATTGACGATTTATCGTGCCCTGGGGCATGCTGTTAGATGTTTTAATAATATATTGTGTCCGATTTCATCTGATCCCTTTCGAGCAACCCATTCTAGTGTGGCACATCTTGGAGTGCAACCACACAGGCCTAGCGGAGACATATGACATGCCTTTAAGATCGACGGGAAAAAATCCGCGTGCTTCGCGCTGGTGTATGTATGACATGTGTGTTCTCGCTGTATCGTTTGCTACGAAAGCAAGTAGACACGGCGGTGAATGTCGGTCGGCCTGTGAGAAAGGCAGCGCGAGAGCCTCAGGGACGCGCTGTCAGTTCGGCACCCTTCCTACTCCTTCCATTATTGCTTCGTCTCAAACCAGTGTTCTATGCTATGAACTCGCACAACCGACCCCGTTCCGCAAATTGGCACTTGCAGAAATCGTGTGCTCATATCTGTTCTTGAAGAGAGAACGCACAACACCCTATCAACAAGCTAACCACCTGTCAGTGCCGACCTCCTTCCTCTTTCCTCAAGTGGCCATGTTGTTGTTGCATCTGTCCCCAGCCTTCTGCTTTCATTGAACAACACGGACGACAGACACCAAACGCTTTGCACACACACCCTTCCGACGGCCCAAGCTGTCTATAGCGACTGCTGCCAACGCTACGCACTCCAACAGCGGACGACGCCTACAGCGACTGCTGCTGCTGCTACGCTACGCGCTCGAACACTTCTTGTACAGCGCGACACGCTCCTACAGCAGTACCTCCTACCGCTCTATCTCTGTCTGTCCCCGAACCTCGGCAAGTCTCCGTAGCACCCCCCCCCCCCCCCGCACGGTCTGGAGCTTCTCCGGATGGGGGTGTTGGTAG